AAACACTCTGTATTGACTTTGAGACAATAAAAGAGAGAGAGAGATGGGATCGTTTGAGAATCTTTAATTTCTGAATTATAAATTCTAAACAATCTACCAGGACTACTCTGTGATGGATGAGAATGGATTTGGATGTTGTGTTGGTGCGTGTGTGTGAGTGCGTGTGTCTGGTTCAGATTCTCTAGGATGACGTAATCGAATCTGGTCGTCTTTGTTATGACTAGGTATCACGAGGCTTATAAAGTGATGACATGAGCCGCTATTTTGCCGTGTACGTACCCAGTGGGGTCTCCCAAGTAGATCAGGAATTGCCAGGTCTGGAAACCTCGGATGTACGGTGGAGCTGTCGGTGCAGCGATCACAACGTTTCAAAGCCCGTCTGGAGGGTTGACCCCGGTACCGTTCAGCGGCGTCAGCAGGTGCTCTTATTTAAGCAATTGTAGAAGAACGTAGTAGAGTGTGGAAAGTAGTCAGTGTGTCCTCCAGCAGTCTAAGCCTATAGAATGTTTTAAGCCTAGTCTTAAAATTAGACAAGGTGTCTGCCCCACAGAGTAAAGCTGGGAGCTGGTCCCACAAGAGGAGAGCCTGGTAGCTAAAATATCTGCCTCCCATCCTATTTTTAGATTTTCTGGAAACCACCAGTAAACCTGCAGTCTGTGAGCAAAGTATTCGGTTAGGAACTTATGGAACAATCAGGTCACTGATGTATGATGGAGCTTGATTATTAAGAGCTTTATATGTGAGAAGGATGATCTTAAAATCTATTCTGAATTTAACAGACAGCCAATGTAGGGAAGCTAAGACAGGAGAGATATGATTTCTCTTTTTAATTCTCATCAGAACTCTAGCTGCATCATTTTGGACACGCTGAAGACTTTTAACTGCATTCTGTGGACTTCCTGAGAGTAATGAATTACAGTAATCCAGTCTTGATGTAATAAATGCATGAACTAGTTTTTCAGCATCACTCCTGGAAAGGATGCTTCTAATCTTAGCAATATTCAGAAGGTGGAAAAAGGAAATCCTACAAACCTGTTTAACATGGTATTTGAATGACTTGTCCTGGTCAAAGTTAACACCAAGGTTCCTTACTTTGTTCTCGGAGATTAATGTAATGCCATTCAGGTCAGGCGTCTGACTAAGCAGTTTCCATTTCTGGATTTCAGGTCCTAAGATTAGAACTTCAGTCTTGTCTTGATTTAAAAGCAGAAAGTTTTGAGTCATCCATTTTTTTATGTTTTCAAGACAAGCCTGTAATCTACCCAACCGATTAGGTTCATCAGGGTTAATGGATAAACATAACTGAGTATCATCAGCATAACAGTGGAAGTTTATCCTATGCTGTCTAATGATTTTACCAATTGGGAGCATATATGTAGTAAAAAGAATTGATCCAAGCACTGAACCCTGTGGTACTCTCCAAGTAACCCTGGAGTATGAAGAAGATTTGTCATGTACATTTACAAAATGAAATCTGTCAGACATGTAGGACTCAAACCAGCCTAACTCTGTTCCTTTGATCCCTGTAACATGTTAAAGCCTTTCTAAAAGAACATTGTGATTAACTGTGTCAAAGGCAACACTGAGATCTAACAAGACTAGAACAGACACAAGATTCTTATCTGAGGCCAAGAAAATTCTTTTGTAACTCTCACTAACACAGTTTCAGTGCTGTGATACTCTCTAAAACCAGACTGAAATTCCTCAAACAGATCATTAGTGTTTAAATGCTCACGTATTTGGATGGCCACTATTTTCTCCAGGACTTTGGATAAAAATGGAAGGTTAGATATTGGTCTATAATTCATTGGGTCATCTGGATCCAGAGAAGGCTTCTTAAGTGAAGGTTTGATTACAGCAACCTTAAAATCCTGTGGCACATATCCATTTACTAAGGATAGATTGATTATATCTAGAATGGGAGCAGTAACCAAAGGAAATGCATCTTTAAATAATTTGTTTGGGATTGGATCTAAAATGCAAGTTGAAGGTTTAGATGAAGCTAATATTTTTGATAACTCTGAAACCTCAACTGGATCAGAATAGTTCAGTCTCATATTAGATGCAATGTTTCCTTCTACGGGAGCCTGTGAGGACAAAATGCAGTTGCTGATTTGTAACAAATGGTTATAAAACTTGCGCCATTTATAAATGTTGCTTTACACATTTACCTCTTCGCTTGTTGCCCGGGCTCCCATTGATTTTTGACACTAATGGCCATCTGTTGGCAATGTCTTGCTCAAACACCAAAATACTGCTTGCTTGCAATGATTTAGGCAGGGTTTTTCCTTGCTCAAATTGAGGCAGAGGTGGGTACCATCCTGACCATGCGCCAGCACATGCATACTCTGTGCATTCAACTGCCTCACTTTTTAAAGGCAAAATATTATAAACGGCTCAATAATATGCATTAGATTGGTGTTTAGTTCCCTTTTTCCCATCTGATATTTATAGTTAAAATATTTAGAAATATTTGACCTACATTTCAGTAACATTTTAGGTTTGTATTAATAACACTCATCTTAGTCAAAATAACACATAAATATATCCAGTAAAATATAATGCATTATATTAACATGCATTTTTATTGGAAATGGTAATAACATTTAATTTCTGCTGCTAACAATGTAATGGTGGCATGTCTACAGGTTAGGGTTAAGGGGGGTGTTCCATTTTGCCTTGGCCCCCAAAATGCGTAGAAACGGCCCTAGGTGTGTGACTGAGTTTTGAAGGTGATCTGAATTGTATCAAATGTATAAATATTACCTGTGTATAAATTATTGTTTTATTAAACATGTAGTGGAGATAAATCTACCTGCATTTGACTTTCGAGCTTTGTTTTTCTTGCTTTTATTTGATCTATTTTCCTGTCCTGTCTGTCTCTCATCTTCCTGCATCTCCTCTAAACTCTAGAAAAACTGCTGCCTGGATTCTTACTTTTTCACCTCATCAGTTACTTTTGAGCAGATCAAAGGGATCTTGTGCGCGTTTTGATGCTGCGTCAGTGAGATGAAATCACCGCAGCACACGACGAGACGAGTGGAGCGCGTCACACCCGTATGATTAAAAGACAGAATACCAGAGAATAGAAACAGATATGAACGATCATGTGTTAATAATACTGTTTTGTTGCGCCACCTTGAGAATGTAGCGTGCGCCGGACGCAGCGGGCGCACCAACGATCAGCGCTCTGCGTCCTCTCCGTTCCACAGAATCCTCGCTGAGACCATAAATATTGTAATATAGGTAGAAACTGGATCTTTCCCTGAAAGATATCTAGCCCCCCATAACTTGATCCCTGCTCCTGAATGAAAAACCGGACATTTTGATCAGTGTAGGAAACCCACCTGCACGCCACCGGACAGAGAGTGAAAAGTGGACATGTCCAGGGAAAAGACGACGTATGGTCAGCCTACAATAGCACCAACCATAGATATGTACCAACTAGCGAGAAAAGCAAATTTTCGATCTTCCTTTTCTGCAGCGGTTTTAGCTCCTTTTGGTGCACCGCTGCTGATACAGCGCCCCTATAGTGGCGCAATGCTGCAACTGCAGTTAAAATAACATCCATATAGCTGGGGGCAGAGTGAAATCAGGCTGGGGCGACACAAAAATAGCTGGAGGCGGCCGCCACACAAATTTGAACGCAGGAAAACCCCCGAATTTAGGTATGTGCTGCCCCCCATTGCCAGGGAAAATACACACTGTCATTTTAAGGAAATCATAAATGGTGTAAAAATACATCAGAATACCTCCCTGTACTGCTAGCTACCGGATACTGACCCGGTTTGTTGTTGACCATTAGGGTATATTTTGTCTGTTGTCTCAGTGTGTGTCCAATTCCAGTGAGGTTTAACTTCTGAAAGTCTCCTTGAGTCCAACTGCAGCTGTTTGCTGTCTTCGTGTTTATGACTTTTTTCATTCCCAAAGCTATATAATAACTTATTCTTGAACCATTTTTCATTTTCTATGTTTTGATCTAACTTAAGGTTTTATACAACTGTTTTTTAACACAATGATTTCACTATTAAATGCCAGAATACTGATTTAAAGTCCAGTATTCAAGGACTGAAAAGGGAACTCTTGTGTTGAACTGGGAAGGTGAAGAACTGTGGGTTAAGAGCATGTGATTCAGAGGATAAGTTGAGCCTTCAGCTATGAACACTGCGTCACAGCAGCTGAGTGTGAGTGAGAATTTGCGTGTATTCATGTATCCGTTGGTGTGTGTGGTCGGGGATAGGGAAATATGTCCGATGTGCCCACCAAGTGGTGGAGGCAAGCATCTTGGTGGGAGACACTGATCTGACAAGGCAGCTACGTCATTGCTGCACGTGTTTCCTTTCTCTCTTGCTCCCCTGCTCTCCCATTCTCTTATTGGTACTCAATCGTCACATGACCTAAAGCTCTCACTTCTCTTCTTCCCTTTGACAGTTTCGGCTGCGCCATGTTTCTCTTTGGTTTTGACGCTCATCTGTGTGTGTTGATACGAATACGTGTGGCAACAACGAGACAGACAGTGCCCATTTGGAGGGAGCGCATCAGAAAGTGTTGGAGCGATAATGCCATGCTAGAAGGAGTACAGGAACCAGAATAGAGGAACTCATCGACAGCGGGAGCCAGGGCAGATTTAAAAATCCAGAGAAAATAAGAGATCAAGACAGAGCAAGAAAAACAGGGAAAGTCTAAATATGGGAAGCAGAGAGCGTCTAGTGATGTTAATCTGCCCATAGCAGAGTGTAGCTGACACACACTCAGTTGTGCAAAAGAAAAATAGTACGCAGGAGCTCTCAGCGGTCTACGTTGAAGAGACGGCTATGCCCCCCCCCCCCCCCCCCCCCACATCCAATTCCTCCTCCTGCTTTCACAAATCCAGCTATGTAGGAGAGAAGAGAGGACCACAAGGCCCTTCAGCCAGCGAGTGGGAAAGACGAGACATCCAACGATGATGACGAGGCTGATAATGATAATGGCAGTGGCGCTAAGGCAGAACTCGGGTGAGAAGAGAACAGTATGTTATCGTAGGCTGGATGACAGGAGCTCCATTTTGTTATTATACACAAATGTTTTAGGCTGACTACATCTTCTGGCAACAAGCTGCCGATCCTTTAGCTGTGAGACGATCTTCTGTTCAGACAGAATAACAGTCAGATGAACAACTGAACAACTTTTCTCCGTCCCTCCTGTGCTCTCCTCCACTGCCGTATCATCCTGTTCCTCCTGCTCGCGGTTGTGTCATCGCCCGTTCCTTCTTCATTGCCATATCCACTCACTCTTTGATTGTTGCATGTCATTCATATCCGTCTTTTTTTCCCTTTAACCTGTGTAACTGAGTAAGATCTCATTGTAGAGTTTCGATAAACGGTCGTACATCAGTTGAGTCACGGCTTCATCCAGTCAGAACCGTTCCAGATCAGCTGCATCCTTTTGGGATGCTTAAGGAAGGGCCGGCAAGACCACTAGCAAGCCTGCTATCGCTCACTCACCAGCCTTCTAGTGCACATAGCCTCGTTATGGGATTTGATATCAGCCACAGGTATAGGACTAAAGTTGTTTTAGAGTGAGAAATAGCAAAGGGATACGAATGTGGATGAGAAGGAAAATAGAGATTGACGAGGCATTATCGGCGGCATCTGCTTTGGCACAGAGCTCATCTGAAGTTGGACACCGACATGAAGATGAACAAAATCACAGCAAAGAAGAGCAGATGATGTTTAAAGTGGGTTTAAAGAAAAGAAACGTCGCTTTTATTTATAGATTGTCTAATCACTCAGCTTCTGTTTCGCCTCAAAAGCAAAGAAGGTCAGTGATTAAAGTCAATTTTTAGGTAAGATAAAAGAAACATACATATAACCTGCAATGAAACATCATCAAATGCAGCAGCGCTGAAGGGCGTGGATAGAGTCAGAGCGAGGTGTTCTCATTGGTAAGAGCTCTGCTGCACTTAGCTGTTTCCTAGGCTGCTGCTACCAGCGACTATTCCCCACAGCTCTCTGTGTTTCTGCTCACTGCACACTCCTCCATTCCATTGTACGTGCCCGCTGTGGCTCAGATAATGGCCTCTCGCGCTGCACACACTGACGAGAGAGGAGATGGAGGGGGAGTCTACACGAGAGGGAGGGGAATGGAGGGAGGGAAGGTGGGGGCTGAGAGGAGAAGCCGACTGCATGTGTAGTCAAGTGAAAGAAAGAGGATATTGAAAAAGGGAAGGGAGGAGCAGACATAGATAATGAGAAAGGAAAAAGGAGAGAACAGAAAGATTTGGCTTTAAGAAGAGCCAAGAGAATAAGAAACGTGTGCTCCGTGACGGGGGAGGTGTGGGTTGTGTGTGCGGTGGACTGCGTGAGTGTGTGTGAATATGTGCATGTGTGTTTTGGTGCTTTCCGTGTCTGTGCACTGCACTGACAAGAAGGAATAAGCCAAGAATCGGACCAAACGTGGATCGATTGCTTATGCACTGCTGTGCCAGCAACCAAGTCTAATGCTCCCCTCTGTCGCCTCTTCTTTTCTCTGTTTTTGGACTGGCAGCTTGGTCTGGACATCTAGAACGGAGTAAGTATGCACTGCAGATCTTCAAAGCTCTCAGCCGGCTTAATTTACGCCAGGGTCTCTGTTCCATGTTCCTGCTCGTCACGGCAGCAGAGGAAGGGGTGGGGGAAGAAGGAGGTGGACGAGAGGGAGGATGGGGTGGTGTTGTGTATGTGGGATTTAGGTTCAGCTGTCTACTCACAAGCTGCACTTAACCCCCTCAGCACCACCACTACTATCCTTCAGTGCTTTGTCTCTTCCCTCCAGAATTTTTGTGCAGCGTCAGTTTAAAACAGCTCTCCTTCTCTCTCACCAAATCCAGGCTGCCATGTTTGAATGCCTTCCAGTTTGTCCGGTCTTCCAGGTTTGACAAGATCAGATTCAGTTAGATGTGGTGTTGTGTGGTTGGGTTTACTCTGTGACATGGGCTGAGTCTGTACAAGTGTGTGAAACAGAGTGAGAAAGGTAAAGGTAAGACAATGACACTCGGCTCTGCCAAGGTGTAAATATTTGGCACGTGGCCTGTACACCCAGGCGTTTGTATAAAATGCTTCAGGTGTCATTATATTTTTGTCACTGACTTCTACACGTGGAGGCCATTTTTAACGGACTTAAACTTGAGATATGTGAGACTTCAGTGTCTTTTAATTTGATTTGTGGTAGCGTGTTTTCATCTCTCCTCTAAACATTCTGTGTCAAACCCGCTGTTGGTCCCTTTTTTGTGCCCGTAACTGAAGAGAAAGAGGAAAGGACAGTGTCTGTGTGACTGACTATGTTTGTGGGATGTTGCAGTGTTGCAGTCACCCTGTTTCAACACACTGCAGTTCTCATAACTGCCGCACCTCTACCCCCTCCTTCCTTTTTCCCATCTGATGCTGTCTATAGTACAGACATGGGGCCTCTCACGTATTACATGCCGGCTGTTGGTGGCTGCCCCCCTTTCCCCTCCCTCACCCCAGGACCTCCGTTAGACACCCATCGCAGAAGGTGGATTGAAAAGACCCAAACATACAACCTGTCCTGTAATTAGCCACTTCAAAGGCTCATTTTAATAATATTCAAACGATGGGGAAGCTGAGCATCAGACCACTTCTGCTATCGTACACTCCTAGATCTTCACACAGAAGCCATCGTCTGTTGTTTCTTTTTGGCAGAACATGAAAGGATGGTGGATAACTCACATTAATGTTGGGATGGGAGACCGTCTGTGGGATTGAGGTTAGATTTTATACAAAGGTAACTTCTTTTCATGGTTTAGGTTGAACTTATCATTTTCAACAAAGAATATTTATGCATAGTCAGTTGTTATATTAAAATTAGACTAAAGCAACAATTACAGTTTATTGTTTTTCTTACAAGGCTCATTGAGCTGGTTGGAATACTTTGTACAGCCAAAACATGAACTCTGTCAATGATTTCTGAACCTGCCCTTGAATTATCTTTGTTATTCTGTCCCTCTAGACTCAGGTAATTCGAAGTCATGAGGAGCAAGCAGGGCTGAACACGTTTTGGGAGAAACATCTTAGGAAGATGACTTACATTTGAAAAGCTATTTATGCTAAATAGTCTTCAGTTTGAGCATCTCAACAGTCAAACTGTGATCGGACTCTGAGCCTGTAATTCAAGACATGGTCATGTGACCTTTGCTGGTTTCAGTGTAACTACCTGCATGGGACTGGAGAGGAAATGAGTTATGTGGTTCTACTGATGAGCTTGGGATCACTGTTAATGCTGAACCCATTTTAACCAGCAGAGCAACAGTTTTGCTTTTCTATCTGTTGTTTATAACAGAGAAATTCATTTTCCACATGTGTTAATCAAAACTTGCTGCTGTGCTTCTCTAGCTCTTTCATACTGGAAGAAAATCACAGAGAAATAGAGGAACTCATTCATGGATGCCATTAAAGTGTCCCAAAAGTAGCTTTTAACTCAAGCACAGCATCACTTTTGCTAATTTTACGTACGATCTTTACTATTATAATTTGACCAATGTTCAATGTGCCGTTAAATAAAGTTTTCCCTATTCAGACATTTTGATTGATTGAATAATTTTGGCTGTGAAGGTAAAGTTGCATCAGAGTATGTGATTCACCTGTTTTAGCAGCAGCACACTCACTAACTCTAAACTCTGCATCATCAGAGCACCAGTATCTCCTGTTCACAGCATTTCTCTTTTCCTGATGCCCAGATCAAAACACACCATTTTGCCTACATTCCTTCTTCTTCATCATCATTTTGATAATTGTTAGTTTAAAATGCTGCAATGGGTATGCTGGGAGCACCAGGCTAAACTTTGGTGCTCACGCTTTCACCGAATGGCTAAACCCTTAATGTAACGTCTAAACACTGAACAGCGTTAAAATATTTTACTCTTTTTTTAACCAAGAATTCCAGTTTTTGTCTCTCCAGACTCGTGATTATACTTGTACTAAACACAGGAGAATTGTCATTATTTAGTGGATGGAACATATTAACTTGCCACAGCATATTAATCTTAAGACATCTACGTAAGTAGAAGTTTGATATTTTGGGTTTTTCTGGCAGAATTTTAGGTAACTTGTGAAAACATCAGAACACAGTGTACCCTTGGGTCATCCATTGGAGATTTCCCTCCAACTGCCTGCTTTGCATAGGCCAACTGATGTGAAGCATTGTGTCTGTTCATGAAACAACTGAAAGCTTTGGCCTATTACATGAAAAACTTGACGCACTTCTTTTTTGTTATGACATTAATTTAGGCTGAAATAGTTTGCTTTGGCTCTGTTGATCTGGCCCAAAGGTACTATACTCTGCTATATGCATGTGTGAAAGGTTGGAGGGAAACCCTGGAAATGAGCTAGAGTGAATGTTACCTATAGTTGCAATTATATCAAATGAATATCAAAGTCTAAAATATTAAATCCAAAGTATTCTTGTGATATACCTGGGCACCAGAGCATTATTGGCATTGATTGTATTTTGTTTCTTTTACTACTTAACTGAAAATTTGGATTTTCTTTTTATAATTTCACTAACTCTGCTCCACATTTGTCTTTCAGATTATTCACAAAGCCACTTCAGTGGATGGCCCCAGAAGTGGAGGCCAGATGGAAATTGGTTCACATGATCGCCTCCAGGAAGGCGAGTTGAGCCTTGAATTGGCCAATGGAGTGAGCCCCTACCCTAATGATGATAAGGCAGCTATGGAAACAAAACAGCAAAGGGCAGGAAGTGGGCCTCCAAGGCAATGCTGGGTGCCAGGACGTGGTAAGGTCAGTGACACCCAAGAGCAACCATGTTGGAGCAACAGCAGTGGTAGGACCTCCAGTGAACTGGTCCACCACGCAGACATGGAAGATGCCCACAATCTAGTGGCTTTTTCTGTTACTGCTAGCACTTTGCCACCTTCTTCCTCGACTTCTTGCCACCTGGTTGAAGCTAAGATAGCCCAGCTGTATGAAAAGTTTACCCTGGAGACAGGTGGTGATGGGGCTCATTCCAGAGTGTTTGCAGGGGTGCCTGAGGGAAACTGCCAACCTCCAGAAGACCTTCATACCTTACAGACGGCACTGGACCAGGCCAAACATGGGCACAAGCCCCCCAACTGTAATTGTGATGGGCCTCATTGTCCAGACTACCTTGAGTGGTTGGAAAAGAAGATTAAATTAGCAACTAAAGAGGATCAAAGCTCCCAGAAAATAGCTGATGGTGCTCCACACTTACTGCAACCCAATTTGCAGCATCACCCTCAGACCTACCATCAGATTAATGGTGCTCATCATATGTCTAATTCATGCTCCAAGCAGCAGGAGACAACTCAAGTGCCCTGTTCCAAACCTATTCCGTGCTCCCCCCAGGTGCTTTCCTTAGTCAAAGAGAAAAATGTCAGTCTTAAAACAGCAATTGCCATAGATGCTCTGACTCAGTTATCTGGCTCCAATCCTCAAGCAATCAGTTCTTTGGGCCAAGCGCTGTTCAAAAATAGCTTCCAAAATCAACAACACACCGAGAATGTCACACCTGGTGCGATCCCAACCTCTTTGACTAACAACTCATCGTCTCGCTCACAGTCTGTTCCTCCAGGAGTGCATACAAACCAGCAGGTCCCGTCATCGTCATATGAACACCACAGACCCCAATCCCAGGGCCATCAAACCCATGTTACACCTTTCCCATCCTCTACCTCTCCTTTCCCAGGTCAGGGGAAATCTACAGCTTTCGGTTCAAATCTCCAGCGGCTGCAGCAAGGCTCTGGCAGGGAAGTTGAGCAGAGGAATCCATGGATATATATGAGGTCTGAGACCGAGCTCCACTTTGCCACTGCACCTCACAATAAGTTGGACCCTATGTCAGAGCTTAAACAGCTGCTTGGTGACACCAGTACTGGACTAAAGAATACCCCTTTTAAGCTTCCGGCCACACAACCGCTCAACATGAATCAGAATGGGGGAATGCAAGGTCAAGAGAGCCCAGCACTGGCCAGCATAAAGCAAGAGTTAGATGCTGGTGATCATTACCATCACTTAGCTTCCATGGGGCAATATGGTTTGTCTAATGGTCAACAGCAGGCTCAGCATTATCCTGGTAATTTGTTGTCTCCTGGCCAAGCAGCTATCAGTCACTCCACTCAGGCAGCTCTGCAACACCACCTTCACTACAGGAGGAACCTCTTTCCTACTCACCCCTCTGGTTTTGGACTACCAGGCACCCATGCATCAATGGCTTGCCAAAACCTAAAGAAATGGTGGCCACAGGTGGATGCAGAAGGTTTGCCTCTTCTGCCAATCAAACCAGAACCTAAGGGACCCAAAAAGAGGAGAAGCAGCCAAGGATCTCCTGCCGTTAAAACAACGGGTGGGATGATGTTGGGCCCTCCCCTCCCCAAACCCAAACAGATAATCATCAAAAAAACTAAGCAGAAAGCCTCCATGCCAACCTTCCTGCCTCAAGCTCAAATAACTGTACAAAAAACACCTGTCCATGTGATGGACAGCTCCCCAGCTCTGAACAGTCTGCATGCAGGCACTCTCCCCCCTCTGCCCCCCCTCGGTAACTCCACTCAGGCTACTGCTGCAGGTCTCCCTGCCCCAGTCCAATCTCAGGTATCCGTTTGCGACACCTCAGTGACTTCCTCTTCCACTGTTTCTGTTGCATCAGAACACACTCCAGCTCTCATGAATCGTGTGTCCCAACCTGTGGCTTCTTCAGCCCCTGTTGCATCAGAAGGAGCAGGCATGAGCCAGACCTCCACTAACACCAGCAACACCACACCTGTGACCTCCACATCTTCATCCAACACTTCACAACTACAAAATCTTATCAATATAGTTCCAAAGTTCGAAGAACTGATCCGCCAGTTTGAGGCTGAATTTGGAGAGTTGGCTTCTGATGCGTCTACCAGTCGGTTCAAGGGTGAGACTGCTCCAACCCCTAAGCCAGGAAATCAATCCCCGAACAGTCTTCAGGACCCCAGTAACTCATCATCTCACACCTCCCAGTCAGTTCCCTCTGTTCCCACCACCCAAGCCAGCTTTACACCTCATTCACAAGACCAGGAGATGATAGTCAACAAGCATGAGTCAGGTACTCCAAAGGATGCAACAATGAGCCAGGCACCCTCGGAGAGTCCCATGGAAACGAAAAGGGAAAGACCTGTTGATGTTTCTCAGAACCAAGAAACCATTATGGACAAGCAGAAGCTGTCTCGAATGTTAGAGGATGCGTTCAGCATGCAAGGCTCTCCGCTGCCAAAAAGAGTTAAATTGGAAACTTCGGGGGATTTAGCAGTACTGTCAACCACCTGCTATTCTGAGGAGGACACACCAACGAAGGATGGTTTACACTCTTCTCCATCTCTTAGAGGCTTTCTAGAGTCCCCTTTACGCTACTTAGACACCCCCACAAAAAACCTGCTGGATACTCCTTCCAAGGACCAAGCATCAGATTTTCCAACCTGCACCTGCGTGGGTACGTTTGTGTCATCTCTATTTATCTCTAATCCTTTGATTCATTATTTCAGTGTTAGCAAAGTCCTTTTCTGAAGTGTTTTATGTTTTAGGACACATTTAAATAAATCTTTACTTATTTAGCCACTGTTTGTTTGTGACTTATACTTTTCATCCCTGTAGCACACACTAGATATTTGCGGTGTGTAGAGGAGTGTGTGTGTTGCCAGGGTGTGAGGCTGTGACCCTCCAGACAGCAACAATGTGAGGCAACGAAGGCAGCAGGCAGGAAGGAACAAAAGCAGTGCTGGCAGAAGGAGCCTTTTGTGGCGAGCTGGCAGGCACGCAGATCCTTGCCTTTGTTAGACAGAGAGTGGTTCAGTCTTATAGTTTAGGTAGCAGCCTGCTCAGGATAGTCATTTACAGCAAACTGGGTGGCTGTACAGCTAACATTCTAGAATCACTACTGATTAATATGAAATTAACCCATTAAACTGTCCGGAATAATTACTGTGTGATTTACTTCACTATGTATTACATGCTGCCAAACAAGTCTCCAAGACGTTATTGAAGAATTTAAACAGTTGTTGCTCTTTGTGTGTACTAACTGTAGATCAAAGGTCTGGGATGTCGTCCGTTTCTGTTTCTAAATATTGAAGAGAACTCGCTGCAGGGCGAAACCTGCTGCAGCTACCCGCATTTAACTCTCTTTACTAATTTATGCAGTACATCATTGTCTCCCCATAGTTGAATATCCCATCAGAGTAAAGACACACATCTGTGGTATTTTTACACAAGAATCAAGAGTTCTTCACTTCCTGCATGAGCCACTCCCCTCTTCACTCCACGCACCGCCATGGGAATGTGACCTAATGTTGAACCACACACAAATTACTAAGTCAGTTTACACGAGGAAGATCATTATCTACTAGACAATTTACATTCAGATAATTTATGTCATAATAACAAGTGTAGGTCAGAGGCAATAATTTAGAGGCAAGAACAAAAAGCTGCTACAGAACCAGAGATTACCGTTTAAAAGGATTTACAAACAGTATTCACACAAACAGCCCTGTTAACTGTAGGATTCATCATTAAAGCAAGTTTTGTTTTACTAAATGTGTTTTTGTCGAGTGCTGTGTTGCAATCTGTTGCACACTGGTATGCCTCTTGGTGTAGATTTGGCTACAAAGAGGATGCTGCTGAGTTTTTGTGCATCAAAGCATGTCTGCTGTACTTCTGAGTTCTGTTTTATGAGACTTTTCAAAAAGTGTAGAGTCAAGTGACTGAGGTCAACTGACTTTTACTGCAGGTTGACTCAATTCAGAGACTCTGTAGCTTCAGTTTGTGCAGGATACTTTTCATTTGATAAAAAAAAAAATGTTTTAGTTGAAGGTGTACACAGCACATCCCCGGAATTTCATGAAAACTGTGCATTTAGTAGATAAGCATCATTCCACTTAATATTTATCAACCTAAACACAAATGTTCATGTATACAGTGATAGAAGGGATGGTACGTGTGCTTCTTTTTAGTGCCAGTTTTGATGTTTTTCTCATAACACATGAAGATGTAATGCAAGATAATGTCATATATTTTCTGGAGGGTGGCATTTAAAATTGTATTTAATTTTTTTTTTTCATATCTCTCCTCCAAGAACAAATCCTGGAGAAGGATGAAGGACCCTACTACAACCACCTGGGATCTGGACCTACTGTAGCTTCCATACGAAGCCTCATGGAAACGAGGTGCACCACTTCTTCAGTTTTCTCCCCTTCCTACATCATCTTGCTTCTTTTCCCTTTCCTCCTTTCTCTCCACCCTCCCTCCTCCTCCAGTTTTGTCCTTAGGGAATCAGTGACCCAGAATCTAGTTGGAGAAACAGGAAATATCAGCATCATCAGCAAATCACAAGCAGAGTGAGAGGTGTGGGGTAGCAGTGGCAGATGAAGCTGACAAGACAAGGAGGAGGGAAGGATGAAGGATAGATATCAAATTAAAAAGAAAGGATGGAGAACGGGAAATTAAAGCAATGAGAGAGGCGAAAAAAAACATTTCACTTGTAAATGAAATGCATTCATAGCTAAATTTGCTCTGATTCTTCTCAATCTTAATGAAACAGGAGCTACTTTTTATGTGTAGTGATCAGATTTTTGAAGACTACAACTTGCATTACGAGACAGTAATCCAATCACACACACTGTGATCATCTAACCAATCCAAGAAGTTATTGTCTGAACTGAGTCGGTGACTTTAATGAACCAGGCGCAGCAACGGCCTATAGTGGAGCCGTCCTGCTGTCTTATCCTACAGATAGCACTCATCAACTGTTCCAAACCTTGAGAGGATAAATTAGACTAAAAGGTCATCATGGGTGGGGGTGTGTGTTAACACAGGGACCATTTTTTGTTGTTTGAGAGATGACACAAGAAGTTTAGGCCCTATAGTCCATGGCTGACCTTTGACCCACCCCTGACCCCAGCAGGGAACCTCTGTGGTGACAGAGCTTAATCCCCCGTGCTTTCTCAGCCACCTCAGGGTGAATCCTGTTCAGCTGGAGCTCCTCATGCTCAGTGTCACACCAAATCAGCACAGGGGCAGAGGTTTTGCCGCACCGGGCTACAGGGAGACCCAATCAGATCTGTGACAAGTTCTGGTGAACAGTAACTTTCTGCTGTTTCAGAATGGTGCAGGAACATTTTCTATCAGTGTCACAAGCACAGAAACATCTCTAAGAGCAGGCCCTGTAGCTGTCAGAGGGTTCTGGTTTACTCTGCCAGGCTTGTGTGAATCTCACAGAGCCTTGTTAACACACACGTCCCTCCAGCTTGTGCTGCTGAGTTCATCCTGAACCGCCGTTCCCTCTGAAACCTGTCGTCTTGTTTGTTTTAGTCAGATAAGGATTAGCCTAGATGAGATTCTGATGAGGTGATAACCACAAACACCATGATAGCCTCAACAACTCTGAAGTGTTTGAATATTAGAAACAATAATAAACAATAACTTTTCATTTCTGAACAGTAAATATGAATCTTAAAGTCCAAGAGACACTCTGAAAGCCCACAACGAGGCCTGTAAACTCGCTGAGTCAAAATGAGTTTATCTTCATTTAAAACCAAACAAAAAACAGTTCTCAGATAACACCAGAGCCAGCATGAGCAAAAACATCAAAAACACTCAAATTAAATAAATAAAGAACACTGACAACTGGACTGATCAGGAGAATAAATACACGAACCTGTACGGATAAACATGTTTAGGCTAAAGAATGTCCTGCAAAGTACCGGCTCAGTTCACCGGGGTCATCTTCTCACACACATCAGCCCCTTCCTGTCAATCAGCTGGACAACAACACCTTCAGCCTCCGATTTGTTCTACATGAAGATTAACATTTACGGTCTGGAAATTACTCTGTAAGATATCAAATGGTATAACAAGGCATCTGTGGAAGGAGTCATTGTGCTTCTAACTGGACATTCTTGCAAAATGTTTCATCTTATGGTACAAATTTGATTTATTCAGAAGAACTGTTCAACCACCAAGAGTTTCTTTTATCTGTATGATTGTAGGTGCCGGTCTTTCAGATCTGCAAAAAATAATCTTTCTGATAGACGTAGTGCAAATCTTACTTACCGCTGAACTACAAGAGAACTAAATCGGTTTCGCTGACCTGATTGGTCCGAGCACACGGAAGACGCTGGCCATAAAATTTTTGAAGCAGTCCAGCAGTACAGTCCATTTAACGAAAGCTGTGATTGTGCTTAACAAAGTGGTAGGCAATTGTTGCTTCCTGAGCACCGCGTTTAACTCATTCACTGCCATTGGCGACAACAGTCGTCATTTTAAATCCAAACTTTGAAAATTGTTTGCAGCAAACGGCTTTACTGATCAGGAAACGTCTGTGCCAGATGTTCCTGGTCAGTAAAGCCCTTTGCTGCCAGCAATGTTCAAAATTTGGATTTAAAATGACGACTTTTGTCGTCAATGGCAGTGAATGAGTTAAGGTCTTTGTCTCCAGCAGCAGCTTCACTAAAAAACATGCTAACAGAACTTCCCGCCTGTTGCCACTGCTTATGTTTGCTAGTTGTAACATGGTTCTGCACGTCCGCGTTTTCACGCTGAGCAAGAGAGAATTCCCACCTACATAAGACACAAAACGCAGCATATTCATTTCCTGGCGTGTTTTTGAGAAAGCTGTCGTTCCAGCAGCCCTTTCGTTAGTCTTGACCGTCTTTTCGGCATGCTGGACGAGCAACATGGTGGATCCTCCTTACGCAGGACTTAGGAGATGTCTCGCGCCAACGGCGTTGGCATCAACAAATGAGAATTAGGCTACACAGACATGTGACATAAAGTTGAGCTTTTTCATTGGTTTATTAATGTCACTAAGACAACTTTTTGATTGACATACAAACAACACAAAGACAATTAGTTCTGTGAACTATGAGCAACCGGTTCAAAATCGGGACACTCAGGACCAAGGCCGGGTGAAATCGGGACAACATAATGGGTTTGTAAAAATCCTTGGGGACACAGGACAAATGACTAAAATCGGGACTGTCCCTGGTAAACCGGGATGCAGTGACAGTGTGACGTAGATCTGTCGTTTCCTAATCCTAGAGTTTCACCGTCTATTTTCTATTAGAAGCTAAAGCAGTAGAGAGGTGTAGGAGACTATTTTCATGTTCAACCTGCATGAAAAACTCAAAAGTGACCAGTTATAATCAGAAGTAATCATTAGAACATAAAAGCACACCTTTAATAGACTCAGATTTTTAGTCGTGCTTTCTGAGCTGATTGATCTTGTGTGTGCTCACTTTCACCAAATACAGAACCGTTCAAAATGCTAAAAGGGCTTTAACGTTTATTCACGTTTGTCATTTAGGGTGAATTGGAAACAGCCATCCATCCATTTTCTGTACCTGCTTATCCACGCAGGGTCGCAGGGGGGTGGTGCCTATCTCAAGCATTTTATGGGCAAACAGGCGGGCTACACCCTGGACAGGTTGCCAGTCCATCGCAGGGCAACACAAAAAAACAAAGGGCAATCAACCAACAGAGAGGCCAGCCTGACAGTCATATTTTTGGACTGTGGGAGGAAGCCAGCGTACCTGGAGAGAACCCATGCGTTCACAGGGAGAACATGCAAACTCCATGCAGAGAGATGCAGCCGGGATGTGGACCTCCTGGCTGCAAGGCGACAGCGCTAACCATTGCACCACTGTGAAATGAAATGTACTGCATTAGTTCACGTTTCACAGGAATTGAGCTATTCCTGCCCTCAATGTCATTATTTTGCCATCAAACTATTCATACTGCAGAATTATAGTGGAAATGTTTAGGAATTTTTGATACAGATTCTTGTAAAAACAGTAGGCTCTTTCCTATTTAATATTTAACAAAATATGCACCCTTTGAATGTCTGAGTCAACTGATAAAGGACTTCTGAATTTACAGTGACACATTGACTGGCATTGCGTTTGCTTTAGTTACTGTATCATCATCAGCATCCATTTAATAATCTTTTTTGTTCATGTGTAGGTATGGGGAGAAGGGGGAAGCGGTACGGATTGAAAAGGTGGTGTACACCGGCAGAGAGGGGAAGAGCTCCCATGGCTGTCCTATTGCCAAGTGGGTGAGTAGAACCACACGCTGTCTACAATCTAGTAGAAGTAAGTAATGAAATAAATAAAAACTTAGATAACTGTCAGCGTAACTTTTAGCATCAGCTGTGTCTTTCAAAAAGTTTCTTAAACTTCCAAGTTGCCACCATCTCACCTGGCATCTGATGGTTTCCCGGTGAAGGCGTGAAGAAAGGAGAGGAGGGGTTGGAATGTCTGGCCCTCCTGACAGCAGTGACAGTCAATCAGCTCGTGATTTATACTGCCTGTGTGTATGGGCGTGCACGTGTGTTTATTTGTGTGGGGAGACAAGCAGGTCAGCTTGTCATCAACAGTCATCAGTAGGAGGTCTCATTCTGAATCATATGTCAGACCTACGCCCCCTATTGGCCCTGACACATCCAAATGAGGACTCAGTTAAATCAAAACAACATCTCACTGAAGGACTTGGGCTATTTTGGAGAGAGAATCAGAAAGCAGGCTATAAACAGAGGAGGATAGGTATTCTTTAACCTCACTTTTAATTATCAAAACCTTTCCTCTTTGTTTATGTGTGTTGGACATCTACTGGACAAAGGAAGTAACTACACAACTACCAGTGCTTCTTTGTTCCCTTTATAACATGCTGCTGTTTATTTTGATGTCATGTTTGAGTCACTGAACTCATGTAGCGCTTGGCGTCCTGACAGGTGATCCGTCGTGGCAGCGAGAAAGAGAAGCTGCTGTGTCTGGTGCGTCACCGTGCTGGTCACCACTGTGCCAATGCCGTCATCATTGTTGTGATTTTGGCCTGGGAAGGCATCCCGAGAGCCATGGCCGACAAGCTGTACCACGAGGTTACCGACACCCTCACAAAGTTCGGCAACCCCACCAGCCGACGCTGCGGCCTCAATGATGAGTGAGTTCACAACGGGCAGCTTTTGATCAATTATGTGAGATTTTAAAAACAAAAACATGGCTAAAGTTCAAAGACTTATTATGAGTCTGAACATGGAAAACATCTCAGAAATTAAATGAAAGTGTTGTTAATACACCTTTTTGAGTATTCATTTGTACTGTTTGTGGGTGTGAAAACCGTTCAGCATGTCAGAATTAGGGCTGCAGCTATCGAATATTTTAGTACTCGAGTATTCTATCGAATCTTCCATCGATTAATCGAGTATTCTATTTGATGACGTTTTAAGTGAAACGAGATCATGGTCTGCTGCTAAAAGTATGAAAATAGAAAAGCAAAATTATAAAAGGCTCAATATGTATATTAAATAGGTGCTGTTTTGTTCCCTCTTTCCCAGCTAAGATTTATAGTTAATAAATATTTTATGGAACAACATTTGACTTACATTTCATTCACAATTTAGGTTTGTATTGACCTCATCCTAGTCAAAATAACATACCTAAAAATGTTCACATATAGTGAGTAGAATTTAATTGTAACAATGTGCTTGTGGTATATTTATTTTATTATGTATGGGTTGGCAACATAATCTAGTCTAAATAGTATTGAAATATAAACGTGTTAGGGAATTATATGCTACAACGGCTTGTCACAGTATCTGGAGTGGATGGAGCTGACTCGTAGCAACAACCATACAGTAGCTGCAGCAGCTCTGCCCCACACCGCTGCAGAGATACAAATAAATAAATGGGATGGTGGGGCTTTTCCTTCCACTTGTGGAGTTTAGTCGTTCACAACCATCACATTTTTTCTGAACCACACTTGCTTGTACTGCCCGCTAGCTTAGCATTAGCCAATCTACCCGTAGTTTTAACTCTTGGACCATTTCTGCCTTTTATAATGGTTTCTGTCTTTGCTGGTTTCTGTATTTTCCTCCACAGCACCTAGACCAGCATGTGTGCCAGTAAAATGTGTTCAGACTGTGGAGAGCACATTTAACGAAGCTTCGAATCAGTAAAAATTAATCGAGGAATTTAATGAATTGAACCATTCAAATCATTCGATGATTCGTTTCAGCCCTAGTCAGAATACATCACTATTCTCTATTAAAAATATTGCTTGTAATTAATTATCTTCCAAATAGTTCAAATGATCCAGATGTTGCATTAGATACACAGCCCTTTTGACTGAAGCTGACAGTTTGCTCTTTCTGCAGTCGTACCTGCGCCTGTCAAGGCAAGGACCCTGAAATGTGTGGCGCTTCTTTTTCGTTCGGTTGCTCCTGGAGTATGTACTTTAATGGCTGCAAATACGCCAGGAGTAAAATGCCCCGCAAGTTCAGACTACAAGGAGATCACCCTGAAGAGGTACACATCACAACCTCAGTCGTGTGTGAGACCCTGTGATGTTCCATGGGTAGCTTGTGTTGCATTCATGATGTGTCTCTTTTGCTTGTCAGGAGGATAAACTCAGGGATAACTTCCAAAATTTGGCAACTGAGGTGGCTCCTTTGTACAAGCGACTGGCGCCACAGGCATACAGTAACCAGGTTTGTTACATTAAAATACTCACTACCCAAACCCTAACCATAACCCAACCTTCCACAAATGTAACTGTAAAATATCAGGTCCCAAAGTACCTCACAGATCTGTATTATGAGTTGGTTTAACTTGATCTCTTTCCTGTATCTTAGTGCATGGCTGAACAAAAAGCTCCAGACTGCAGGTTGGGTTTAAAAGAGGGCCGTCCATTTTCTGGAATCACTGCTTGTATGGACTTCTGTGCCCATGCTCATAAGGACCAACATAATCTTCATAATGGGTGCACAGTGGTAAGATTACCCAACAATACACCTTTCACCTTCTTTCCAATACTGAGATAAACCAATACCATAAAAGAAGAGACAAACTAAATCATTTTAGGTAACCAACATCACAAACCCCCAATCATTCATATATAACTTTAAACATTCTGTGTGCAAAATTTGATAAGTTCAGTTTAAGTTAGACTAGTTGTGGCAGACACGCAACAATATCTCAGGTCTGTTATATTTTGACATTTGGGGTGAGAGAAGTACCTGAAGAGTTTGATGAGTTATATGTGCATGGTATGGAAAGGTTGTGTCATTGAAAGAGTAAAAACCAATGACAATATTTTCCAATTTTTACTTTTAAATGCCAGTATCAGCCGATAATAATGGTAGGCCGATAATATCCAAATCTATAACGTTAAATGGTTTTACAGATGTGAAGGCAACATATTTAGAGCTAAAAAAAACTGTTAAACGTTCTTTAGCACAATTGACGTGTTTTTTTTTTCCTCATCATGTCTCACTCTGTTAGGTGTGCACTTTAACTAAAGAAGACAACCGAAAAGTGGGGGAAATCCCTGATGACGAGCAGCTCCACGTGCTGCCCCTTTACACGATATCAAAAACAGATGAGTTTGGTAGTGAAGAGGCCCAGTGCATGAAGATGCAGAACGGAGCCATTCAGGTGCTTCAGACTTTCCGTAGAGAGGTACGCAAGTTACCCGAGCCCGCCAAATCTTGCCGACAGCGCCGGTTGGAGGCCAAGAAGGCTGCCTCAGAGAAAAAGAAAAGTAAACTCATGCAGCAAGCAGGGGAGACCCCAGAGAAAGCTGTGGTCAAGGCTGAGCTCCGAATCACAAGTTCTCCCCTTCCCCAAGGCAATAAAGGTTAGTTGTTATCTTGCATTTATTTGTGTCATGTAAAATATAAATGGATTATGTGCAAAAATTTCAACAATTAGGACATTATCTCAATAATTCCTTAACTTGGAAGTGTTTTTATTTTTTTTACCAGTAAGTTCAAATGTAATGTAAACAAAAGAAATGACAAATAAAACTTGAGGGGGGAAAAACATACACCTGAGTTTTAATTTATGCCTTTCTTGTTTTGAACAATCAGAAATTATGAAACAGGAGGTGAAGCCCAAAATCAAGACAGAAGAGCTCAATGGATCAATCGATGGGTATCCCATGCAGGCAGCAGAACCACATAAAAACATCTATCAACACCCTGCTTTCTATGCAAGGGGAACACATTCCCCAGCAGGACAGCCCTCTGCGCTTGATGCAGTGAACGGCTACCATCCCAGTCTGCCCACAATGCCATATGGCTACTACAACTACCCACCCAATGCACTTTTCCCACGTAAGATCAAGACCTATGAAGGTCGAAATGGTTCCTTGCTCAAAACGAGCTGTAAATCTGCCCATACTGACAAAAAGCCTGACTTACAGAGCCTTCAGGCCAGACTGCCTCAGTCCGCCGTCATCCACTCAGAACAAACTAACCAACCAAATCACAGTGCTTACAATGAGGATTCAGAATACAACCCATCCCGTCCTCCTTCTGTCTCCTCTGAGTCCTCCAACCGAGGGACACCAGTTATCAAGCAGGAGCCAATGGATGTCCCAGTCTATGAAGGTGCATTGCCAAGCCAAACTGGTGCCAACACCTCAAGAACAACCCCCCAACCTGCAGCCTGGCCAGGGTACAAGCTTAATGGAAGCATCATTCCTACCAACTGGGATGGCCATCTGAACCATAGACAGAGTCCTGACGTCTCTTCATTAAACTCAGAGAAGCACCAGTTTCACCAGCATTCACAGCAGCGGCAGTCCCCTGCTTACCCCCAGCAGTGGACATCCTTCCCTTGTTCAAATCCTACAATGGCTTCTTTCAATCCATCAGTCCAAGTACCTTCCTCACCGCCTCCATCCCCTCACATTGGCACAGTACTTCAGGCTAACCTGTACCAAGGCTCCACATGCCACGCTAGCCCTCATTTAGGTACACCACAGCCTGGCTCTTCTCTCTCAGGCACGCCAGGCCCGGGCACCCCAGGTCCTAGTACCCCAGGTTCAATCACCCCAAGACCGAGCACTCCTGGTCCAGGAACCCCTGGCCCAGGCACCCCTAGGCATTGGCCCAGCCCTGCTCATAGCCCCCAGCCAAATGTTTGGAGTGTTGGGTCTGCTGCTTACAGCCCCGGTTTGAAGCACAGCAATCCTGCAGGAGCTTATCCAGACAAGATGTGGTCAAAGACGGGTGAAAATCGGTGTTCCACCCCTCTTGGGCTCCAAGAAAAGGCATGGAAGTCTTGTGGTGGCTCAGTGGCTGGCAGCACCCCTTCCCCTGCACCTGAGGGTCGCCTTTTCCCTGATGCTCTCCAGCAGTCAGATCAAGCCTTCTGCAACCCCTGCCGAGCTGAGAGTGATGTTGAGAGCTCCAAGCATGAAGATGAAGAAGAGGTGTGGTCTGACAGTGAACACAACTTCCTGGATCCTACCATTGGAGGTGTAGCAGTAGCACCGGCACATGGATCTATCCTGATTGAATGTGCCCGGCGGGAACTACATGCTACAACTCCACTTAAAACACCCGATCGTTCTCACCCCACTCGCATCTCCCTGGTCTTCTACCAGCACAAAAACCTCAACCAGCCAATGCACGGCCTGGCTCTCTGGGAGGCCAAAATGAAGCTGTTGGCAGAGCGAGCCCTGCAGAGGCAACAGGAAGCAGCTCTCCTTGGCCTATCACAGGAAGAAATTAAAACACTCGGGAAGAAACGCAAATGGGGTGCTACAGTGACAGGTTCCAGTCCAGGACCTGGACAATCTAAAGACAAGAAAGTCGGGCCAGTGACACGGTTATCCTCCACGTTTGGCACCACCTCTGTGGTTACTGCGTCTCCCTATGCCTTCACGCGCCTCACTGGGCCCTACAGCCACTTTGTCTGAGACCAGACAGACCAACGGCAACAGACTGGTGCTGTAGACAGAAAGGAGCAGGAGGAATGTCTCTTTGCTGTTACACAGTCTGGCATCGCTCCACCCTGACCCCTTCACGGTCCAAATGGAGGAGGGGACATTTTTATTGTTTTTTTTTACCTCATGTCAGGCAGTGGTTTGGGCTGCAGACACACTGCCTGTGGTGCTCTTTCCCTCTCGTTCCCGGAGAGGAACTCTTTTGCTTTTTCTTGTTCATAGAATTTTAAGGATCCTAATTGCTATTATTATCAATATTATGGTTGCTATTGTTACTGTCAACGTTGTTATTACAGGTATTATTATAATGAACACTTGTTTTTTTTATTATTGCTGTTTGTTATTGCTGTTTTCATGTTATTATTAATGTGATTGTTTTTTGTTTATTTTCTAATCAATCATCAGTCAGAGTCACCATTGCTTTACCCATCACCCTTAGAAACTTGTACCATCTTTTTCCCGGTTTTTTAATTTCTTTCTCATCGTCAGTCTGAAAACTACTGACAGGAGGAGCCAGCATCTGCACAGGCAGTCAGTATAACAGAACACATGATCATGACTGTACCCAAAAACAAGACGTTCACCTCAATCTCAAAATTTCCAGTTTATGCTATCATGGTACTTCAGTCTAAAGAAAGTTATTTTATTGAAAATGTAAATAGTAACCAATCATGAGGAGACTTCATTTTAGAAACAAATCAATACCTAGAATAAAAATGATTGATATGACCCCCCCGCCACCACAGGGAGAAAAACTCACCACCTGTCTTGTGCTTAGATGGTGCACTCCTCCTGTTAATCTGCACTCCTCTGGCTTCCGACTGGTGCTCTAATTCTGGTTCTGATCTGTTTTTGTTCTGCTACACTTCATGGCACTCGATGCTGTTAAGGTGCTCTAACTCGAATTTGGCTCAAGAAATGTATGCAGACAGGTAAATACTTTTATTTGAAATTGGTGGGGGTACCAGAACAATGTTTTAAAGGTGAGGAGAATGCTGCTTTTTGCTCTACATTTTCCTCCTGTGAAACCTGTGGTTCTGGTATCTTAAAGGCTAAAATGGCAGCAAGTACTGAGAGACGGTGCTGGTGGATCTCTTATCTTCCTACAACTTGTTTAGGGCTGAGCCCTTTCCAGTGTAAACTCTAGATGGCAGCAGTGTCTGCAACTTCAACAAGCATGGTGAAGCCCAGTGTTGCTGCTTCAACCACCCAAGGCCAATAGAGGGACATTTCACACCCTGTTTGCTGATTGGTGGGACTTGCTCAAGCAGCTGAAGGCGAAACGTATGTTTGTCCTGTAGTGGAACAAACGTGGCTGAGTTCTGGAGTTGCATCTGGGAAGCTGATTGTGTGTTATAGCAGAATGAAAGTGATTGCTGTACTTTTGGTGCTCCTACACACACTCTGGTGCTGTCCTATTACACTTGATTTATTGTGAGGGGCCCTATCCTCCCTCTGCATGGTGCTGTCATCTTTGAGCAGGCTAGGCGTATCCTTCCACCTTATTGCCCATCAATGGGGCTGTTCTTGGGTTGCAGCTTTGCTATTGATTCTTGTTGAGGGATTTTTGAGATTTGTTGTGGAATATGATAACACAGTACACTGTCCAGTGCAAAGGAAGCACAGTCAGACATCACTTTTCATAGAGAAACCATAGAAAATAACTAGCTTCAGGGAGAAGTTGCCAACTTCAAATCAGTTAATCTCTCACTTTGCATACAAGTATGTTTACTTGAAATGACGTATTTCAACCATTGTGTGAAAGAGACCAGCCAAAGTGAGAGACTACGTGATAGCGCTACTTGAGTCCCTTGAATTCCCCATTTTTACCTTTCTTTGTGCAGCGTGTGTTGAAAATGACAAGTGACTGACAGAACTATATGAGCAGTTGTTTGGGTCAAGGCCCTTATGTAAGACTCGGTTACCTCAACCAAGGCCTCCAGCTCTACCTCACGCTGTAGAGACACTGGTCACAGACACAACTTGCTACTGAGGGCAAAAAATCCTGCATAGATATTCACACTCATTTTACTAGCGTTTGTTTTTAAAAACAACTCTTATTTATTACTACATTGTGATTATGATAATGATTGTTTTTGATGTTATGGTTTTCTCTTTTCATCTTTTTTATATAGTTAATACAAATTGTACATAGAGAAGAAAAGATTTATAAAAGCACTTTTAATCTTGATTTTAATGACAAAAAGAGCCGATTATCGACAACTTGAAGCTTAGTTTTTTGTTGTTTGATTTCATTTTCTCAAGAGAGAGATAAAAATGTAAATATTAAACTATTTAGGTAAGATTATTTAACGGATGAGAATAGTAACTAAACCATGGATGACAGAGAGGGTTTATAGAAGTCTCAGACACCCCCTCTACAACACTCGGTCCCAAGGTGTTGTGTAAAAACGTGCTTAGTAACACTGCTGTTTTATGTTCAGACGTACTGTACCTCTCATCAACCTTAAAAGAAGAAACAAGCCCAGTTACACCAGGACATTTAATACTTATGATAGTAACACACCCCCACCATAGATGACCACCGCTAAAACAAAAGAACCCCAATAATCCACACACATTCTTCTAAGAACTATATACAGTTTTACAAAAAAACCATGAAGGACTGGAAATGCCATTACAAAGAGAGACGTGGTTTGCTGTGCAACTAAGGACAAATCTAAATAAAACACGTGTTGTTATAGGAAGCAGTTTGGGAATAATGCCTATTTGATTCTGTTCTGACAAGAAAAAACATTTCAGTTTCAGTTAGTTAATTCCTGACATTTTACGTAAGTTACGTGGATGCAGGCAGATAGAAGATTTCAGGATGTCCCAGAAAAGGCTCTGAACTCCAATTAACACACTTTAAAGCATAGATCATCCTTTGGATGATTCCCGTGTGACTGAGACTTCATTTTGAGAGCAGAAGGATGAAAAAGGTGTTGGTTTGTCTCCTGAGTTTCACCACACAGGTGATTCAGAAGGTGATGTAGTGAGTTACAGTATAGCCTGCCAATCTTGTGTTAGACCATCATTTAAGAGACTGCCTCCCTGCTTGTTTAGATGTTTGTATAAATATTGTCTGACCTAGCTTTGCTAATATTTAAGGATGCACATGGCAGAGTATCCATGATGCCCCGTGGAAGTTTCTGGATTTTAGCTTGTATTTAGTAACTGAACACCTTTGTCATGGCTAATAGGAGTTCTACTGGTGCAATGGCAGGGCCTGTTGTACTTTAAGGATGAAACTTGGCCCACATTTTACACACTTCTCTTAAAAAGGATGCTGAGCATACTGTGTACAACACATATTTTCAACTTTGTGAATCTCTAAATGTGTCACATTTTCTCAATGGTTCTCATGAGAGTTGTTATCTTTTAATTACATTCTGAGATGGGGGGGTGGGTCAACCGGTGCTATTACAATTCACTGTGTGAAAAACAAAAACAAAGGATAAACAAGAACCATGAATATTTTTCTGAGCTCCTTGAATGTCAAGAAAATTCAACTTCTGATTCAAGCAGTTTCAAAGTTCAAGAAGCTGCCCTGGTGCTGACTTTATGAAAAGTGTTTTGTTACGACGCTACAACTTCACGTCTCTTTGAGGGCAGGAGAGCACTCCTACAGTTGATTGCATTCTTTATTATTGTTCTTTCCATATTATACTTGAAGTCACTAAACTAGGATGAGAAGTAGAGTCAAATCATATGAAGACTGTTATCCAGGTTTCATATTTGGTACAGCGCAAGTACCCAAAACTATTAGAATGATCGTTTGAGTATGTTGTAAATGTATATATGCGCTGAATGCTAAAATATTTGAACAATATCATAATTGTATACTGCCGCCCTCACCCTCTCCCTAGTCATGCACTTCCTTTACTCACCCCAACCCTTTCTCTTAAACCTTGTATATTTTATCCAACACAAACACAGAAGAACTTGCATCTCACTTTGTATGGCCCAAAGTAGAATATGTACCACCTAATTTATTGAACACTCTCCAGATGTGGAACTGAGACTTGGACCCTGGCCCATACACGAGGATGAAAATGAGTCTACACAAGTGGCAGCTACATTCCTTTTTGAGTTGTAGGATTGTTCTTGTTTCGTTATTTTCATGTCAAGGATGCAGTATGTAAAAAAGTGTTTTTGTTCAGTCTCTATCTCTCTCTCTTTGTAGCTGTATGGTGTATTATGTGAATACATAGTGTATGTGGTAAAGACCCCACAATATTGTTTTATGTTGCGCGATAAATAAAAATATTAAAGTGAAACGTGAGGAGCTTCATATCACATTGATTTGGGTTTGAATTGGTGTGCTGCAATATGACAAATATGCATAATTTCAATGATTTATGTTGATAAGTAACAAAAATGAGACATGCTTGAAAAGTTGCAGCTCAGTTGCTGATCAGTGCTTGGTCTAGTTTATTCACCTCTTGCCGCATCATTCACCAGAAGGTGGAATCAGAAGTGTTTATGACAGGATGTAGGGCAGTTCAAGCCTTTTGCTTTCCAAATAAACATATTTCCATGTGTAACGTCCAGAAATGGTCAGTTTTCACCTACATATTGACCGACACAATGTCTGGTCACCTACAGACCTGGTTCCACTATCTGAGTGGAGTTTCTATCCTGTCTTCTAAAGCCCAGAAGATTCTGCAGCCCTTGTTGACATTTCAGGGGGAACAAGATGTCAGCCTATGTTCCCAAACAAAGCCTTCTTTTGATAAGACCGCAGGATTGCTCACTCTCATGAAAGAGGAACTTTTACAACTCATAAGTTAAATAATCATTAAATAATAAAATGGTTGAATGAACACATGTTATATGAATACTAATATTAATGTTTGAACAGTCTGCTTAAATTACTGAAGTGAAATGAATATTATTATATTGAAAGATTAACAAGGATGAAATGAAATATATGACCCATATATTTCATCAGCACACTGACTAGACAAGACACATTCATCACCATATCTCAGTGATGCAAGTTATAATTAACGTCACTGCACATAGATATTTTCTTATCCACAAAATCAGCATCTTCATATCAATCAATCAATCAAAGCTTTATTTATAAAGCGCCTTCCGCAACCCTGTGAGGAAGCCCAAAGCGCTGAGGGAGGTGTGTGTCTGAGTTTGTCGGCAAAACCCCTTTACAGGGCAAGTTCTGATTTATCAGTAAACCAAGATATGGCCACTATTTAAAGCAGCATCACTCCCTTAGTGATTCAGTTGAGCCTAACTGTGACTGGCCATTGGAGGGAAACTCTTCTCCCATCGCATCTTTTGACAAGCTGTCAAAAACCTGTTGGATGCTACAGCTGACCAAAAACGGTTCCTTCAGAATAAAGCTGAACCAACTTCAGCTCCTTATGTTACTCCCAAGATGCAAATAACAACTGTCGTGACCTGAAGACATCTCGAGACCGGTATAGTTGGCACTGCGGTTTCTTCTACGGACTTCTGTACCTCTGGGGTCCCCGGACCTCAACACATTCCGGATCTACCACGGGGGTCTTCGAGCGGGTACGTAGACTCGACAGATTGTGTCTAATGTGTTTTTGATAAGAACCAACTTTGTTAGTTTAATGCAGACCAAATTCACTCCCACTCAGAACTCAGTTTCTTCAGATATGAGGGTTCTGATAACCTCACATTCACACATCATCACACCTCACATTCCATCCACTTAGATCCATTCATCACATAAAGTGTCCTACTTTTCATATTTTAATTGTTTAGAAAATACATTTCTTACTCTTTATAAACTTGACTCTCTTCTTGATTTAATATGAAGTGTCTGACAATCCCTGAATAAACAAGGAATTCTAAAACTTCTGGTTAAACATTCAAAGATCAGTCAGACTGAATTTCCATATATGGAAAATCACATCATATTGGTCAAAGTGTAGGGTAGAGTATATCAAGCTTTAAAAGCACCCAAATAAATACGTATGTTACTCCTACATATTTTGGCGAGCCTTAAGCCAGATTTATTAAATTTGTTACACTTCGTGTCAATTCTGATTCATTAATTCATCAAAAATAAAACTATTATTTCTGTTTCTGGTTGGAAATGGGGCGATCTCGTCATCCGCCACCAGAGGGCGCGGTCCCTACCAATTTCACAAACGGGGAGACTCCTGTCCCTGCCACCAGGGGCGCTGTCTCTCTCTGTCTACTTCTGATGAGGAGTCTTGCTGGAAAGAGCTGCATGAAGCTCTAAAGGAGAATTCATTGTTGTTGGATAAGGAAATCAGAGCAGAAAATCAAGTAACTGGTTTACAGGACAAGGTGAGTGAGCTGAGGGCTGTTCAGGCACAAGCCGGGGATAATGAAATTGGTGATTTAAAAAAACAGATTTCTGAGCTCACTGGAGAAGAAGGGTGACCCCTTCAATCCCCCGGCTCCATCTGCTCCAGTCCCACTGCACCTACCTGCTGATGTGGTGGTACCAGCTCCCCAGTCAGCTCAATGTAACCCACTCCAGGCCAGGCTCTTCATGAGTCGTAAGTTGCAGGATCGTGAGACAAGATTCTCTACGGTGGAGAAGGAGTGTTTGGCCATGAAATGGGCGATTACCGCTCTGAAATATTACGTGTTGGGACGTCACTTTGTTTTGGAGACTGATCACAGGGTTTTGCAGTGGCTGAAGAGGATGAAAGACTCAAACACACGCCTTACTGGATGGTACCTGTCTCTGCAGCCTTATGATTTCACGGTCCAATACCTTGCTGGAAAGGCCAACGTCGTGGCATACTCTCTCTCCCGTGTACATGAGGACTGAGGTATTGTGACCTTGGGTAAGGGGGGAGGAGATGTGACAGTGGATCACTGTCACACCTAAATACTGGACAGATCTACTGATCTTATACATATAATTGGAATGGGACACATTCATGAGGTATTGAAGGTGTTTATTTGTATATCAATTAGCAGGTGATCCGGTAAGATGGGAAGTATGGTATTTATTGATGGGAAGAACTGAACAAGAATGGGCTGTGGAACAAACATTTGTATTGTGGGCGTGTGTTTACCTTTCCTGTTTCCTGCCAGCAGGTGTGAGCAAGATAGTCCTCGAGGGCGTGTGGATCTTTTTTAGGTTCCAGAGGGATATACCAAGAGGAGGATTGGAAGAGTGATTGGGTTATTTTAATATGGTGAGAAGTATTGATGCTATGTTAAGCACTGCCTAATGAAAGTGGAATGTAGATATTTTAAAGTAACTATGATTGTTTATATATTTATTAGCTTTTACATTTAGTGTTGAGGTTTTAGGTGATGGTTTATCCCAATTAGGGAGATGTATTTATCCCAATTAGGGAGATGTATAAAAGCTGATGTTTTCACTGAGAAGAGGTGAGGTGTGTGGGGGATGTAGAAGTCTGCTCAGCAAAAAATAAAGAAAAGAACATCATTCTCCTGTCCTCTGGTTAGTGATGTTACTCTGCTAAATGGATTGCTTCTAAGGACCGGTCGGCCAAGATAACAGCCCAGATTGCATTACCAGGTCAAACAAGCAACAACAAAAACCTGACCTAAATAAGACCAGAAAAAACAAATTAGTCAGCTGATAAAACAAGTTAAGACAAAGAACATAAATCAAATATGTGGCAATTTGATTAAACACACATTCCTCATATAACACACCCATTTCTCAGGGCAATCAAACAACGGGTTAAAGCAATCAATTTAAATGCACTTAGGTCAAACTGGACAACAAGGCCAAGTTCATTTAGGTTCACATGATTATGTTGTACAACTACTTTCCATACATTCACAAAACAAATCCATACTTTCACAAATATAATAAATCACAGTGACTCACCACTGAGTAGACGTGTCTAATTACAGCATGAGTGTCTGAATACTGGGTGATGGGTGGTCTGCTGCAGTGTTATGCAAACAACAGTGAGGCCCACATTTACACTGACTGCAAAAGCCAATTGGACAAATAACTCACCGGTGCATCAACCCTGTTCAGACTGCTGTACATTTAACATGAGTATGAGTTCAGGCTGGAGTTCAGTTGATACTGAATGACTCAAAATCACCAGCTCCGATACGCCACAGCAGAGTGCAAATGGAGCAAAACAGGAAGCACCAGGTAAAGGAGGGTTCTTAAAGGCACACCATTAAGGGAGCGGCAGGTGTAAGTCATGAAGTGAAAACGGTGACAGGGCAGCTCCCTGGGTTACATCAACAATACCCACCTGCAGCTCAGCAATACCTAACTACTACTCAACAATACCCACCTGCTGCTGCGATGGTCGTACCAGCTTTCCAGCCAGTCCAATCACACTCACCTGTGACCACGGCTGACATCTAAGGGATGTTTCAGAGCGTCAAGAGATTCAATCCTCGACCAGATAATTCATACCCGGTTGATGTGTACCTTAGTGATCTTCGCCATCATTTTCAGAGAAGTCCTGGAATGACTCTCGAGAACAAGATCTTTTTGATAAGGTTAACCTCCGATGCCGTGATTTTGTTCATTGACCGCCAGCAAGATGCGATTGCGAATGATTACACCCGGCTGGAAGCTGCAATTCAAAGAGAATATACTGACAATGCTAAAGAAGCTGGTTTAAAGTTAGCTTTGTCAGTCTAACAGGGTCATTCTGAAGACCCACAAGCATTCTACCTACGCCTTTTTGACACGTACTTTAGTTCACAATGTAAGAAGGGGATGGAAGATGAAAAAGGTTTTAAAGAGCTTTTCATTGGTAATTTGCATCCTCAGTATGGCCCTTAAATGGGTGCGGTAGACCTTGAAGTCAACTCCATGGCCAAACTCAGGAAAATGGCAAGTTATAGCTTCAGGCGGTTCAAAGAAGCAAGTAAGTGTACTGACACCCCTTCGGTCCTGGCAGTGGGGTCAGATCCCTCCACACTGCGACTCGAAGGGACTACATCAGGGACTCAAAAAGGTAATAACCGCAGACCTGGTGCTAAATCACAGGTCCAGAGCCCTATAACAACTTCAAATGGCAAAGCTTTCCTATTAACAGGACTCAGAGTTTTGCCAGAGCTCGGAGCCCCCCACTGGCTGGTGAGGGGGACCCTAAAGCCGGGCGTGCACTATGCGACTTTTTCACTTTTTTGAGCCGATTTTCCACTCATGCGAGAATCCACGAGATCAGGGCAAGTTTTGCACCGAGCATCGTGTAGTGTACAGGTTACGAGAAGCGATTAACACCACGTGACCAGCTACCGATCAGCAATCGTGAGCTCGCACAAACTTCTGGCGTGTTTGAAATTTTGCTCGTC